TCTTTAAGACGTCCGAGGCAAATTAAATTCCTTTTTCCAGGTATTAATTCCAAATTGAGCGAGTTTGTACCACGAAGGTCTTAGCAACTAAAATCTTTTTTTCTTTAGGTGCACATGTTGTATACTCAGAAGCCAGTTAAACTTCACGCGTGTGGCCCCTAGGAAAAACACCGGGTACTAAGGGAGCGCATGATCCAAAAAAGGTCAAAAATGACGATAATTTTAGACATTTTGCCCGTCAAAATCCATGTTTTAACAGCCATAGCAGCCGAAAACAAGGCAAGTGCATACTGGTCACGCCAGGGGCAATGTCGCCCCCCCCCCCCCCCCCCCCAACAAAAAAAAACCCCGGAAAAGGAAGGGGGAGGTGACTCTCCCCCCCGGGCCTGCGAACACCGGTTCCCCGGTCCCCGTCCCCCCCAACCGCAAAACAGAAGGAGGGTCGTCCCCCAACACAGCACCCACAACAAGGATCTGTTACAAGTTTTTAACCACAATGGCCGAGAAGACAAGCCCACGCGCCATGGGCCCCCCCGAGGCCAACACCCCCCGCCCCCCCCCCCCCCCCCGCCAAAAAAAATACACGCCAGGAAAGGGACGCGAGTATCCTCCTTCCTCGAGGGTACCGCAACCTCGTTTCCCAGGTCCCGCTCCCCATGACAGACAACGATGAAGAGGATGCACTTCAAAACTAGACACGCAAAGTGAGTATTATTTTATGTTATATTTTATGCCTCATTTTGCCGATGATTTACGCATGAAACGATTTAATTCGACCTATTCCCATATGGGACAAAGACGTCAGGCGCTCCCGGTAGCTATGACTGCAAATCTGTGGTCAAAACCCTGCAATGACACTGTTTTAACATCAGTTCTAACAAGCAGTGCATACATTTTCCAGCGATGTGACTCTGCCTAGAGTACTAGAGCCCAAAAGTGACAATGTCCGATAGTCACATGTAACGTTTTAAGTTCGAACAATACTCTCTCTAATTGAAGAGTAACAGAACTTAGGCATGTGCCCCTTGTTCGAGTTTCTGAAAGCGAAGACTTCTTTTCAGCACAAGGCTCATTTTGTTCCAAAATTTTAACTTTCGTATGGTGGGAGATTTAGTCGACTGAAGGAGTTTTCGGCGAGAGATTTATCCATTTCTCGAACACAGACCTCGCGCCATTTGAGACAGTTGCACAAACCTTAGCGTCAGAAGTAACAGCTAACGTCACAAGTGTACGTAGAAATACAATTTTCAATCTCAGTGTTGATTGGAATCCGGAATCCTAGTTTCAATGAAGAATCCGGAATCCATTTCTCCCGATGTCCAAGGGGGTGAATCCAGAATCCAGGACTGTCTTGGATTCCCTTACTTGGGGCGACTTCAAGACTAAAAAGGGAAACCTATTTTAAGACCACCAATCGCCTTCGAACATACCATCGACGTTTGGCTTATATATCACGACATTTTAAGTCCACGTGTTTTGAGCCGTAAAAGTCAAGAGAATCCGAAGTATTCCTTCTATCGTTTAGCAAAAAGGTAGGAGTTAAGTAAATGTTGTCAATCCTTTCAAACAAATAGAGTTCTGCGACAGGCTAGGTTCTCGTTAAACCACAAGGTAACAGTTTCGAACGAGTAGATAAATGCGCCAGTTGAAAAGTCTTCGCGACTAACCAAGTCCTAACGCTAATTTCTAAACTACCCGAAAAAGTTAGGCGAAAAAACTGAAATGCAGCTAACTTAAAATCGTATTAAAATGAACGGAAAGCAAGTTCGTTTTCACTTAACAGGTGGTATATAATCACAAGAGCAAATACGAGGTCTATTTCGGCACTGTACGAACGGTGCAGACGGAACGAGAGAAAATCATTGTACGTAAATGCTCGCAAATACACCTAAGTTAATGAACTTTAGAAAGCATAAAAAAGTCCAAAAAAGCTAAAAGTCCGGGCACAGAGACGCAAGGTAGAAAGGATTGCGTGGCCAAACCAAGCCACAGAGAACTTCGCAACCGCGATCGAGCACAATTCAAAACATCCCAGACTGCATTTTGCTGCTGACGTGTTCTTGTTACCAGTGGCAAAAAGGCTTCGTAACGACAAATCTCCTTTAAAAAATCACCAAACAACGCCACCACAAAGGCAATGCTTTAGGTTCTGGTTCAGTCTGTCGGTTGCAACGTATATTAGTATTATCTAATCTTGCATGTCTCGATCATCACAGGAACTTCGATTTGCATGTACGATGCCATGGTTTTACTGGAATGATTTTTGCCTCATTTCTTGATTTTCACAGGAAATCAAAAAATGGATTCAGGACATGACATGGACGTGAGTTAAGTTTGTCAATTTAAATTACACTGTACCCCTACAACACACTGAATCGCCACTGCGTTGTCGCACCACACCCACTATTTGGTTTCGTGTGTCTACTGATACTCTAACAAATCCTAAACTGATATTTCAACGGGGAAAAACAAATGAGAGAATGTTACAGGAACCAAGAAGCTAACAGGGGAAAAAACAAACAACGGCTCAAAGTCTGCAACAACGCTTGATCAGCAGAATGGCGAAACACAGATGGGATAGTTGAACTCTATTTCCAAGCCTGTCAACCTCCATTCCAGAGTTTCTTTGTTTATGTGGCACAATAGCTTGGATCTACTTGAGGAAAAAATTCAAGGACAATTTCAAATTTATTTGGCAACACATTCTGAACAAAATTAGCACCACAAGAAAGTACTGCCGATAAGGGGTTTGATTTGAATGGGGAACTTATAGGATTTTGTCCACAGACTCAAAAGTTAGAATTACAAATTTCTTATCCACCTAAAACCATTTGAAAGCACTACTGAAAAGTTTTGATTTGAATGGCGACATTATAGGACTCTGTCCACAGACTCAAAAGTAAGAGCTTCACTACTGTATCGTCTCCATAATTGCATCTACTAGTAGTGAAAGTGGGATAGGGAGGCAGGAATTCACACCCTTAAAATTCACCTTCAAATGCTAACCCAATTTGCACAGCTATTCCGTAGTTAACAGTTTCAACTGACAAAAAATGAAAACCAAGTGTGTACTAAAACCAAAACATTCTTCCACAGACTAATCCACTTTCATTGAACTCAAATGCATGTATATTAAACAAAAACAAAAAAAACGTACCCTAAAGAAGATTAACAAAATACGTGCAAGTAGAGAATACTCAAAGAAACAGTGGCAGCACACTCCTTTTGTTCTGCTTCCCTTTGCATTTTTTCCCACAATTGTAGAATGTAAAAGTGTTTGATAATAAGCCGAGGCACCCCCTATTTCAAATATTTTATAGCCAGACTTTTATCATAATATTATCATGCATGTACATGTAACATAGTGTTAACGAAATAATTTAGGATAGTACAAATTTTTCTGAAATAGTTTAAGCGTTTGATGCTGAAATTATTTTGTTTCTTTACATCTAATTTTCAGATTTATCCAGTCAACAACGAGTAAGTCAGTAATGTGCTATGGCACTGAGTATCGTCTGTTAACATGCGTTTAATTTCGCTTTGCTCTTACGTTTAATACTTACTGCAGTAAGTTAGTGGGTATAGAATGATGTGTACAGCTGACAACTCTGAATAGTAATTTTAAATGTTAACAAGTTGTAGGTTCCTCTCACGAGTTCTTTATCCAACTCCCACTTGTGTACATATCTCTTAAACAGTGACTGAGAGATATGAATGCATAAATTATTAGGAAGAGCAAGCCATCACACAGCGAATTAGTTAGAAGTTACTGAATTTTGAATCGTATTCTGATGATTTTGAGTACATATGTTTTAATTGCAGAGAAAATTTGCTGGTACAACTTTGTATACCAAACAGCCTGGAGGTATTTCAAATAAGTATTAAAGGAATTTGCAATTAATACCAGTAGTTACAAGTCAATAGTTTGCACTGTGCTGGCCTCCACTTTCCTCCTGAAAAAGGTTCTTTGAGTCAAGTGATTATCCTTCATTGACCAGCTTAGGTTAACTGTTTGAAGTGCACGGCCTGGAACTATCACATGATCAAAATGGAAAATAACATTTTCTTTACATCTAATGTTCAGGTTCCTCAAGTCAACAATGAGTACCGGTAAGGTGGTATTTCTATGCTACTGACTATCATCTGTTAACATGCATCTAACTTTGTATTTGTTCTCTGATGATTTATATTTACTGAAGTGAGTTAGTGGGTATAGAATGATGGGTACATCAGTGTATCTGTTGTGGTTCAATTTTATCCTTGTTTTAAAAGTTATCTATGTGGCTAAATGTAATTTACGCAAAGTTAACCGCGAAGCGGTGCTAGTGAGCAGTTTTTCCAGCTATACTGGGGGTGGCCTGATGCCTCCAGCAGGGGCACCTCATGAGTTGTATATGCAGTTGCTTGCTTGCAGTTTTTCACAAAGTGTTGCTGCAATAGCTTGCTGTTAGCGTGCCCTTTTGTGCTTTGGTTTTTCCCATCCCTCCCTCCCTCCCTCCTGAGGTAAGGGCCAGGTTAGTATTGGTTGGTAAGTATTCCACTGAATTGTTCAGTGTGACAGTGCCTGGTGGGGGCCATTCGCAGGGTTGCCATGGACACCTCCTCCTCATGCTAGAGCATTGCCCGGCTCCACCAACTTTGTAGGCACCAGCTCCCAAGCTCATCTATTGGTGATGAGTTTAACCATTGTTTTGCAGTATGGTAATGTATGATAATAAGTTTCAAACAAAGGATAATAAAATTTAAACCAAGGATAAAATTCAACCACAACATTTCTGCATGTACACAAGTAATAACAACACTGAATAATAATTTTAAATGTTAACAATTTATAGGCTCCTCACAAGCTCTTAATCTACCTGCTACTTGCCTACATATCTCATACACAATAACTGAGAATTAAGAAGCAAGCCATTAAACAGTGAATTGGTTAGGAATCACTGAATTTTGAATTGTGTTCTGATGATTTTGAGTACATATGTTTTAATTGCAGAGAAAATATGTTGGTACAACAGTTGGATGACTGTATACCGGACAGCCTGGAGGTATTTCAAATAAGTATTAAAGGAATTTGCAATTAATACCAGTAGTTACAAGGCAATAGTTTGCACTATGCTGGCCTCCACTTTCCTACTGAATGTAGTTCTTTGAGTCAAGTAATTATCCCTCATGGACCAACTTAGGTTACTGTTTGAAGTGCATGGCCTGGAACTATCACATGATCAAATGGAAAATAGCCTGTATTGTCTGGTATGAGACAGTGTGTTTCCTCCAGAATATGAGTCATGGGATCAAGGAACCTCAGAACTGTATTTTAGCAGTGCCTGGTGACTTACATTTGCCCTGCATTTTTTTGCATAGAAATCGTATGCTGGGCACCCAGATTTCACAGGTTTTGAGTACTGGGCACCTTTCATTTTTTTCCTAGAGCACAGCTTTGGAATCTACCCTCCAGCAACAGATTGAGTTACTTGTTTTAAAAATGAGCATGGTCACCAGTTTTTCAGGCAATTGAAGACAGGAAGTTTAATCTAGTTAGCCAGAACCCCCAATAGGTGGTGTCTGTTATCATGCCAGCTATCTTCCTTTTTGAAAGAGGGTCATCAAATCAAGGAATCATTCCTCCACCACTAGCTTTCAAGACATAATATTGTTGAAAATCTGAGCAGCATGGCCTGTAATAATTAGATGACAGAAATGCTCAACTTAGTAGTCAGAACTCTTTCATCTGATCATGGGTTATGGGCTTAATATATTTACATCTTTTTAGGTCCTTTAAGTCCCATACGAAAACATTCTTAATGTAGAAAGTACAAAGTAAATTCATGGTAGCTTAATGCTTATAACTGTACAGCCCGTTTGACATTTTAATATATACAAACCAATGGTGCTTGATTGCGGCACAATTTAAGACCAAGGGAACTGGTCCCAAACAAGATAGCACTTTCATAGATGTACAAAGCTTTAACCCTTTTTATAGTTTTCACAAGACAGTGATAATGAAAAATTGTTTATAGCCAGACTCTTATCGTTATGAGACATGCATGTAAACATTTTCCTGAAACAGTTAAACATTCAATACTGAAATAATTTGTTTCTTTACATCTAATTTTCAGCTTCATCAAGTCAATAATGAGTAAGTCCGTTTTTCTATGCTACTGATTATCATCTGTTAACATCCGTCTTATTTTGTACATTTCATTCTGACATTTCATACTTACTGCAGTGAATTAGTGGGTATAGTATGAAGTGGACAGCAGGGTATCCGTTGAAGTTCAATTTTATCCTTGGTTGAAATATTATTTTCCTTTGTTTTGGGGTATGGTAATGTATGATAATGAGTTTGGAACAGCACAAAAAGCACAAAAATACACTTTCTGTGGAGTATTGCCATTTTATAGGTTTCTGATGTTAAACAGCGATCAAACCAGCTTTTGATGTTAGCCTCACATCATATTCAGTCTATAACATATTTTCCAATACACATAAAAATGTACAAATTTAAGGATACTTAACAATAACCAGTTGTATTCACCTTGACAAAACGCTTACAAGTCAGAAAAAATAATTCTATCATCTTTCTACATGCTTCAATATTCAGTGGTGTGTAATGTTAAAAAGCCATACCATCCAGTCCATTCTGCAGAACTAGTGTTATCTTTTGCATTTTTCAAGGGAGCAAAGAAGAGCGCAAGGTGGAATGGAGCATGAGACACATGTGACAGGGTAAGATGTGTGGACAGGGGTGATTTTTTTCTGCACCTTCCCCCGTTGTGGAGTCTCAAGCCCCACACCTACTTCATACTTGCCTTTGCTTGCCCAAAAATAGAAAAAAAAAACCAAACATCTGTTCTGCAGGCTAATTCCAGTCAAAAGTTCTTGGTGCTCTTTAACAAGCGACTATGTGTGCACTTCTCAAACACAGCAACTTTGAAATGAAACATTGAATAAATTATCATCAAAAGTCACTTCTCCAGCAAGCTATTACACAATGAACTTTAATGTAAGAAGCCAACAAATTTTAAGTCATCATTTTAATTTACATACTATTTAATTCCAGACAAAATCTGCTAGAACAACATGAACAACAATTTATTCCAGACAGCCTGGAGGTATTTAAATAGTTACAGGATGAATTTGAAATTTAATTAACACAAGTGGTAGCAAGTAAAAATATTGTGCACTATTATTATTATTCATTCAAAATATTTCCCCGATTCTGATTGGCTAAAAGCACACGTTTAATTCACCATAACCAGTTACTGATGACCAAATTTGGAAGAATTTTGACTTTAACGAGGAAATGACATAAAAAATGCAGTGTTTTCGCAGGTTAAGGCACCGTTAACCGAGAAGACCTGGGGACGAGGTTGAATTGTTTTGGTTGTGAACTTGAAAAAATGGCGGACATTTCACTAGAAAAAATAGCTAAAAACATGGCAAGAACAGCAAGAAGACAACTCGAAGGGTGACATCTGCTATTTGGAGAATATTTGCGGAGCTGGACAAACCTAAACGTATACTATCGAAGATGAACTGAACATCGATGGATCGATGGAGGTAAGCATGTTTTAGCTATGTTGTTAAACTAGGAATTATTTTGAATGAATAATAAAACAGTTATTGAATTCGGCTTCCGTATCATATGAAGAATTATGGAGATCTCGGAGGGTGTTATCCGCCTCGGCCTACGGCCTCGACGGATAACACCCTCCTCAATCTCCATAACTCTTCATAAGATACTCAGCCTTATTCATTAACTGTTAATTATAGCACAACTTAGCACTGATACCCCATTTAGCTGGTCTCACATTTACATAAAAAACTATGCAAACCAATAGCAACTGTCTGGGCCACATGGGAAAAAGAAAAAGAGAGGGTCCCAAACCAGGCAAGACTTTCATACATGTTCAAGGTCACTAACAGCCTGTTTTAATTATAACCCTTTTATAGATTTCACAAGACAGTCATGACAGTGATTTAAATGAAGAGAGGTTCCAACAAAGGTAAATAAGATAACATTTCCTACACATTTTATCAGGGTAAAGATGCATGGAGTACCGCCATTATAACAGGGATCCTGATTTTATACAGCAATCCAATATTTTAATGTGAGCCTCCCATCATGTTCAGTCTATAACATATTAATATGTATCAGTACACATATATTATCAAAGATGTTCAAAATTTGAGCACATTAGAAGGAATTACCAGTTCTATTCACCTTGAAAAATGCTTACTTACCCATACTGTTAGCAAACTATGTTTTTTGGTCAGCAGCTCCTGCTATACTTGGTGTAACACAAGCTGATCTATATACAACCCAAACAATAAATTTATTGTTCTTTGCCAATTAAGGTCCAACTATTATTACTTGTTTAGGCACAGAAAATGAAAAGAAAACATTTTGCCCCTTAATTTTGCATCTTTGTAAAGAGCTTGCAATAATTGATTAACTCAAGTAAAGTATTGTTTCGCACATGTGGTACAGTTTGTTACAAGCAACTTACAGGTGAGTGCGATTAACTGCAAAAGGCTTAAATTAATTTAAGGGTGTTTTGACTAGAGGGTTGGAAAGACTATTTTGATTAACTAGCAGTCTGTTTATCCTTGTTTTCTTATCAAAGATTACACACTAGAAAAGCAACACATATTCAACTGAAGTAGAACATCAGCTATTTATTTCATCCAAACTGCTCATCATAAGTTTTCAATCTTTTCTCAACTGCAGAATTCTGAGAGACGCCATAGTTCCTGAGTTATGGTAAGTTGAACTCCATAAAATTACAGTTGCCATAGAATATTCCGATAGTACATAATAACATGATTCATTACATGTAGGATACATGATTCTGTGGTTCACTAAAAACACACTCCACAGGCTGAATTACACTGTATATGCATCAACCTTCTGAATATAGCATTATTTTGGGAGATAAATTTATGCAAAATAAAAATTACCACTTACGCTATGCAGAAAGGCTATTGATGAGACTTGTGGTTCTTTAAACATTCACCTAAGTCGAATATAAGAGTGTCATCATCGTTTGTTGTGAGGCCATGATTTTGTTAGTAACAGATTTTTGCTGTGCTAATAAATTTGCCATTTAGATCAAAATGATTGAAAATAAGAAAATCATTGAAATTAACAAGTGGCATTTCTGTATAGACAACTCAAAAGATTGCTGCAAGCATATAAATTATGTCATAACCCCAATGCAATGAATCCAGAAAGACCAAATCAAATTAGTATACAAAAACTGCTTTGAGAAGTAGCTTCAAATGCTGATTTAGATTCTCACTTGAAAAGCTAGAATAAGGCATGAGAAATAAATAAGTACATGTAAATAAATAAATAAATACATACATAAACATTTTGGAACACACAAATATGTATGAATAAAATTGGATGAAGACTAGAGCAAATCAAAAAGTCTTTATAATGTTGTGGTGGAGGGGGGTGGACTTGCAAAGTGACCACCTTGTGTTCAGCGGATAATATTATTGCAGAATTTCCCCAAAGTAAATATTTAAAAGGTGACAAGTGAGCTGGCAGAGGAAATAATTCTATAACTGAAAAAATAATATCATGCCTTTTTATTTTTCTCGCATATCATAAATTATTTGTCCTTTGGTACTTAAATTGCAAAATGCAAGCTACAGTCACTGCAACTGTGTTTTCTTAACCAACAACAAAGCATGCTGGACTATCAATTGAGTTTATAGGTTACATCGTTTTTGCTGGGCGAGGACATCAGAAGATTATAGAAGTTATGATGCTGATAAAAATTCCTGGGTAAAGTGTCAAACTTATCGGAAGTAAGTGTATTCAAGAGAGCTTTATAAACATGGTCGTTGAGCTTTATAAATCCTGAATAAAGAGATTCACACTTCATAATAACAGTACAGTGATAACATTTCACTTCGTTTATTACGATTAGTGAACACCTTGAATTCAAAGTTCAAGTTGTGAGAACATTGTGTGGATTTCATTTGAGAGAATAATGTATACGAAGAATCTCTCCCCCCCCCCCCCCCCCCCCCACCCCCCCCCCCCCTTTACCAAAAAAAATAATTTGTTTTTTTTTATTTTAAAAACAACAAACAAAAAAAAAAATTTTAAAAAAAAAAAAAATTGGGATAAAAAAAAAAAAAGAAAAAAAAAAAGAAAAAACAAAAAAAAAATCTAAAAAAAAATTTTAAAAAAAAATATTTTTTACCCCCATGGTGTTTTTTTGATTTTTGTTGGGGAGGAAAAAAGTTGTTTTTTAAAGAGGGGGGGGGGTTTTTAGGGTGTGGGGTTTTTGGGGGGGGGTGGGGGGGGGGGGGGGGGGGGGAGGAAAAATAGAAGCGCAGAAAAAAAAAACAAGATTAAAAAAAAAAACACCAAAAAAAGAACGCAAGCGTGGGGGGGGGGGGGGGGGGGGGGCTACTTTCCATACATTCTCTTAAATGAAATCCAAACTATGTTCTCACAACTTGACAGCGGATTTGTGTACTGGTCATGCGCATTATGTCAAAAACCAAGGATCAGTGGTTTTGAGAAGGAACAAAACATGGCGTTTGAAGGTGGGCTGTTTCTCAGAATTTTATTCGGGTAACTTATTAATTTTATGTCGCTTTTTTGGGGGGTTTTCTTTTTCTTTTAAACAACTTTCCTCTGCAGAGTTTGGAATATGCAACAACAGCAATTATAGCTGTGTGTAGCTGATAAGAATTGGAACCGCCCAAGAGTTCAGCTATCAGTCTTTTGCTGCAAACCTAAAGAAAGTTAAGGTCACTTCAAGGTGCAGAGCTTTCAGAAATAGTTGAGATTTTTATTAGGATCATTTTGAATTTTAACTTTAAATTCAAGGTCAGTTGATGACTGATGATAATAAACATTAATTTGAGTGAAATGTTATGAAGTGTGAATTTGTTTACCTGGGAAGGAAGCTCATATTTGTAAAGCTCTCTTAAATAGACTTACTTCTGATGAATCTGACACTTTCTCCAACAATTTTTATCAGCATCATGACTTCTATAATCTTTTGATGTCCTTGCCTGATGAAAAGGATGAAACCTATACAAACTCAATCAAATGTTGTTGTCACTTAAGAATTGACACTGTTGCAGTGACTGCATGTCCTTTGCGTTTGGTTTCCCTTGCAATTTGAGTACCAAAGGACAAATCTGTTATGCAAGAAAAACAATAGCATGATATAGCTTTTATTAAAACGATTGAATTATTTCCTCTGCCAGTTAGCTTTTCCTTTCTGAACTATTTACTTTAGGAAAAATATTGCAGTTATCCACTGACCACCACGCAAGGTGACTGCTTTTCAAGTGGTGAGAACATCATTTCTTGGTCCTAGACCTGGTCTCTTCCACCACACGGCCCCCCCGCAACAGTGTATGAAGTAGACTGTAATGTTTCATTTCTAAATTACAAAAAAGATTCTTTCAAAGATTAATAAAGCCGTTTTGAATGTCCTAAACACGATTCAATTTTTACAATTCCCATTGTAAATACAGATGTGTCAGGTATTACTGAAATTCACAGCAATGTGAAGAGACTGTAATCGATCAGCATCTTAGGATTTCTTTTAGATCGCCGTCAACAAAAAATACACGCAGCTTTAGTGTAAAAGTAAGAGAGAACATTTTCCTATGATAAATACACTGCTTGTATTATGTGTGTAAATCAGCCAAATTGCACATTATTTACATTTGTGTAAATGCTGCAATTCCTGTGGCCTGTACTATACAATGTACTCTATACCAAATGAATACTAAAAATAGTCTCCAGGGTCTTTTGTAGTACCAGCACTTATCTGCAAAATGGTAAAATTGCCTCTTATTTTTTAAACGGTCCCATATTGCATGGTCACTGAACTTAAAAATAATTTAATTTTTTATTGCATATCATGTATGCTCTAATGACCAATTTTTCTGATTGACGACCCTGTTGCTTTTATGCAGAGAGGAGTAGAAAGTGGAATAGATGGATTGCATGCTGAGTCACTCAATTGTGGATTTATTGTTGTGTTATTACGACCCATACTGTGAACTTGTCAAGTTTTGTAAATTAGACCCTTCCATGTTTTTTTCTTCAAGTTTTGATAAAGAGCAGTTGGTGAATACC